CGGCACATTATCACCCTTAGCAAGCCGATGACCGGCGTCGCAATTATACGCTGCGCGACCCCATTTCTGTTTCTGGCGTGCTGTTTTCGGTCGATTATCTCATGATATCCCCATTCGCAGTCAATGACGCTTTGTTTCTTGGGCGCCATAGATCGTTTACCTTGCATGTTCGTGCGACGCATCTTCTTCCACCATCTATCGGTTCTTCACCAATCCTTGAGGATACCGAATTTGTGATAGTGTCCATGTTACCATGATTGACATGATTTTCCTTAGTACCATGGTGTCCTCCATTGCCCGTCAATTATTTTGGGACAATGCTGTCTCCAACCCTCTTTTTTTTTTTTTTTTTCCCCCTTTGCACCATGACAAAGCTATCTTCGACCATCCGCACCATCATTTGAAAAACTTTCTTACCGTCTTTTCATTCCCTTTTGTGTATTTTGCTCTGCCTTTCTGTCCAATCATTCTCTTCTGGTAGATGCCGACTCCAAGCCAGGCGCATCTAGCTGACAATCTCCTATGCGAAGGGCTACATGGATTGTCTTTAATTACCGTCTCTCGAACAATTTTCTCCTTTTATTATTCTTTCCAATCCCCCCCAATATTTCCTTGCATCACACATATTTTGTATATTTCCTTTCCTTCTGTCGCCTCTGCTCCGCGTTACCCCATATCCAAGCCGCCCATCGTCGGACCTGCAATTCTGCTATTCTAGACACTCTTGGAACCTCGTTGCCTGCCATTTCCCTTCCTGTACGTTATTCCTGTGATTCTCAGTTGTCCTTGGATCTCTGTCTTGGACTCGATAGCCGGTTGGGAGAAGCCTTGTTTTAATTTCTGTGAGCAGGTTTGAGCGCGTCATCATCATCTTTTTTCTTGCATTGTGAGTTAGTGTTGCACTTTCTACGCCCTAGAAGATCGATAGAAGACTTTACACCAAGTAGAAAATTGATACCAATATGTTCCTGCTTCCGACATGACATCCATGGATGGCATCTAACTTCAGTAACAAGAAATATGACCCGGGTGATAAGGTAGTTTCCCGTTTTCTTACAGCATCGACTGTTTCTTCCGTTTCTGCTTTACAGACATTTTATGGTCTTTACCTACAACCTCGACTTTGACTCCAACGAGGCCTGCAATGCAACACCCTTGAAGATACATGACATCTTTACGGTGACTCCAAGGAGAAGCGTCCAAGTCTCTGAATAAATTCCTCAGAACGCAGTCTCAGACATGGAAATCATAAATCAAGTTTTATCCATTTCTTGAACCTGTGCCTAGCCTAAGGTGGTATATCAGAATAACAGACCTTCCCAAATCATGACGCCGGGATAAGATGCAACCTTCCAGGAGTTGAGCGAATTCGTAGTTTGCCCGCAGGAAAGACAATCTAGCAAGGGCAAAACCCATCAGAAAAAGAAGAAAAGGAAAAAGCAGAGGCCCAATCCCACCGACGACGCCAGCCCGAATACGCATAATGTAGAATATTTCACGTTCTGAGTGTTACTACAGGGAGATCTCAAGTTCTCCGTGATTTAGAGGATGAAGGGAAAGCCAGAAGAAGATTGACGGGAAGCTGCTCCGCCCTGTGTAGCTCTCCAGCTGGCGATTTCCCTCATATTTTTAGTGAGAAGGATGAAGGAGGAAGGGAGAAGAAATAGGGAAAAAGGAGATTACTCCGCCTTTCCCTGAGTAACTTTGGCGGCCTGGACGGCTGACATCTTTTGAGTCCAGCCTTGCGTGGGCTGCGGTTTCTTCACGGTGCGGAGATCGTCGGTGGAGAAGCCGGAGATGCGCATGTTGTAGTTCCTTTCCAGGACGAGCTGGATGTCGCGAAGTTCAAGCGTAGAGGATGGGCGCAATTTGGCGAGACGGCAAGCAGCAGTGACCACGTCATCAACGAAATCATCGGCCATTTGCAGGATGAACTATCGTGATGATTTAGCAAATGGTATATTCTGAACTCCGTGCACAGCGGGACGCAGCGCTAATACGAAAGGATAAAACTTACCTCTTCGGCGTCTGGCGTGAGCCCTTCACCCTCTCCTCCTCCGGTGACCTGGCGCACCAGGATGTCAAGCATCTTCTTGCTCAGTACCCGCTGGCCTTCGCCTTCAAGCACGTAGCCGGGATGCTTCTGGATGGCTGGTTGGCCCATCATACCCATGCCGCCATGACTGGGACCTCCGGACAGAGTGGGCCGGGCTGGTGCCATGCTGACCGGCTCTGGGGGAGGAACGTTAAGGCTCTTTGGAATGGCCATGTTGATGTTACGCGCTGAATTTTCCGACGCGCGATTGGAAATATACCCCTGAGGATGTGCATGAGGATTGGCAGCTGCCTGCGACACATTTTGCTGAGCCATGTTATTGTTCGCGGCGTTGTTGGTATAACTCTGAGCAGCCTGCGCCATCGCAGCCTGATGGGACAAAGGACGTGGTGGACCCTGTAGGTTGACTGGCTGTGGAGCTGAAGGGGTAGGCGTCGAGCCGTCTGGATTGGGGGTTTGGCTAAATGTGACCTGCGCGCCTGGAGTCCCCTGTTGCGAAAGAGGTTGCGGTTGCTGCTGTTGTGGTTGAAAAGGAGGCGCGGTGGCAGCGGCAGGCGCGGTGCCTGCAGCTTGTGTGACGGGCGCCTGGCCCGGCTGAGTCGCGGAGGGAGACATGGCCGCTTGTCCGGCTTGATTTCGCGCCGCATTTACTGCAGAGTTAATGGTGTGAGGTGCCGGAGTGGGGGCTTGCCCAGGGTGCATGGGTCCGGGGACATTCACTGGACGCTTGTCGCCAACAGTGGGCGCAGGTGTGGCGGCAGGCGCAGTCCCAGTGGCAGCAGCAGCCTGCTCTGCAGTCCCCTGTGGCTGTTGAGGTTGACCGGGGACGGCGTTCGGTAGCCCTGCCCTATTCAGCTGCTGGTTCTGCTGCTGTGCCTTGAACGATTCCTGTTGCTCCTTGAATTTGTTCAAGAAGTCGCTGCCTTCTCGATAGAGCTTTTCCGCCGCAAGCTGCCGATTTTTGAACTCCTGCACCTCTTCCTGGCTCATGTTCCCAGCGGCCTGTCGCTGCGCAAACTGTTGGCGCAGTTCCGCGATACGTACGCGTCCGATCTCCTGTTTCTGTAGCGCAATACCGTATCGTAGTCTTGCCTCCGGCAGCCATGTTTGTACCTGTTCTTTGCTGATATTGGGAGGGAGGAAGAAGTGAAGACCGTTCACTTTCTGTTGGATTTGTGGGAGAAGCTGCGCGAAAGACTGTGGGTTGGCGGACTGAGTGCGTTGAACTGGCTGTCCCTGCACGGCTGCAGCTGCCGCCTGAGCCTGTTGGTGCTGCTGAAGCGCTTGCTGGCGGTTTTGTTGGAATATTCGCATGCCTTTCATCAGATTCTGAGAGAGCTGTGTGAGCCTCATCTGGGCGTTCTGGTATTCCGCACTCTGAGGGTCTCGGCTGTTGAGTATCTCCCAGAAATTGCGCACCAACTGGGTGTGCTGAGCCTTTTGCTGCTCATTGAGATGAGGTAATTTCTGGACCTGGTCTGTCCGGATTAGGTTCGAGTGCTGCTGCTGAGGTGGAACCATAGGCTGATTCGCCTGGGCCTGAGAGCCATCCATGTTGGTCGGCAGCAAGAGATCTCCTAGTCTAATCGGGAAGGAGGAGCTTGACGGGGTATGCTGAGGCTCGCGAGGGATGTAGTCGAAGGGGACAAAGGAGGCGGCGCGCTTGTGATGAGGTTAATTCGAAGGTGTTGGAGGTCAAAATGGTGAATTCGGCCTGGACTGCGTCGTGATGGTGAGAGAAGATATACTTGTAAAAGTCTTGTAACGCTGGCAGGGGGTTCAGAATAAATCACACAGAGCGAATTTCAGACTCCAGACGCAGCCTTAGCTTGAGAAAAGAGATAGATAAAGCCTGGTCAGTTCAAGTATCCGATGAATGATGGCGGAGAGGAAGCGGAAGGGAGCGTTGGAGCCTCAGGCTTGGCATCGCAGCCTTAAATGCGACGAACAATGTAGTGCGCCTTCACCGATGGTTTTTACTCCATATTTTTGACCTCGTCACTTGGCTATTGATCGGCTCCTATTGACTGTAAATACTTCAACAGTCTTTAGTAGATTTTGAGCATAGCATGAAACTAGGATTCTAGGCATACTTGACTCTTGTGCACCGGAACCCTATAATGAAAGTTGTTAGACGGATATTACCAAGCGCTCTATCGACGTAAGAGAAAGTAGTACGACGGTTCTGATCAACATGTTGACCTCCCTACAGCGCGGACGGAGGAGGGCAAATGTTGTTCCCAAGGAGGGCCATTGTGATCAAGCAGACCATGTAGATGGAATCATCGGCTATCTGGTCAAACTCAATGGGCGAAAATTAAGATACAGTTGCGCTGATTTTTTCATTGTCAAAGAAGACTTAAAGATCTTCCAGATAAAATGACAAGTGAGAGCCATGTCAGAATCCCTTCACTTTCTTCTCAGTGTGATTGCTGAGAAAAGGACTGCTGCAATCATACGACCCCCTATTTCATTCGTAAACCAACCCATACACGCATTGTTGAGCAGAGAATATCGAGATCATCAAGAGGATCTCATCATCTGCTTGACAGTTCGAACTGCTGTGTCTCCGCTCAGTAGGGCCCGCGCCCCCAGTACTAACATGCTGTCTGCAGACAGTTCAAGGGATGAAGCCTACAGCGTTCAGACCCATTGTGCAAGCGCAGGCGGCCCAACTGACCGGGCTGGTTCGAGGTACGGCCCAGGAATCTCGCTTTGACATCCTGCTTGAGCACAGACACCCAAGTGCTGTACATAGTTGTCTGCTCTCTGTCGTGACGGATCCAGCCAAGGGACGTACTTGGAAACGGCAAGAAGAGATTGCCGATCATTGAAAATGATTCAGCACTCAGGGCGAAAGCTTGTTGAGACAAAAAGAGGCTCATGCACACGTCTAAGAAGCTGATTATGAGGCATTGAAAAGGGGTCGGCCAGACGGGTCAGCTCAGCCCATCAAGCCACCCAAATCCTTTTCCATGCCGCTTACACGCGCTTCTAGAGCTCGTTTCCGCCTTTCCAACTCTCTGATCTCTTCCATCTCTCGCTCAATATCGGCGTCTGTGACTTCTTGAGGTGTGGCTGTAGAATTGTCATAGTCGTCGTACTCGTCCCCGTAGGAATGGCTCATCTGCTCCAATTCTGCGGTGTTCCTCGCTACTCGGTCTTCTAATTGAGCAATAGAATCACTAATCAACTCGTGACGATAACGCAGAGTCGCAATCTTCTCCTGGGCACCAGCGACGGGACTTCACGAAATCAGCACCAGCAAATGAAGGGTGATTGATCCGAGCAGCTTGCTTACTAGACATTGCAAAGAATCTCCGCCCCGCGAAGAAGGACGTCAATATTAACCTCACTTCGTGTCCCCCTGGCTGAAGTTCCAGCGGAGCGCTTGATCTCGTCCATCATGTCAGAACCTAAGACTCTTGCGACTGCGGACTGATTTCTGTTATTGCGCGCAGCATAAATTCGACTCGCCATGGACTCTCCGTCCCCTTCGGATTGAAACATAGTCCCCCTCCTCGTTGCTCGCCGTTGGGACCTGGCAGACGGGTCAGTCTGGAAAAGGGCTCGTTCATGAGCTTCGGTATCGCGGATCAAAGCAGTGATATCGTGAGGACCCAAAAGAGCATTGGTGAATATTCGAGGTTGGGGAAAACTGTCAAAGGCTCGATCAGCACACAGTCACGAAGGACACAAGGCCATACGCTTACGGTAATTCGGCGATGGCATTTGAGGAGAGCTGGATTTGCTCCAGATGGTTTTCGAGCAAGGACATCGTGGAAACCGCTGACTATTGAGTTTGACGAACAATGATGATTGCCACAATATAGTGTATCCAGATCAGTGTTCCAGCAGCCTCATTAATTCAGAAGCCAGTGCTACAGGCTACTCCGTAGATACTCCGTAGACAATATTACTCCGGATGTAAACATCCAATGGCGGCGGTGTTGGGTCGCGTTAATCACCGCCAAGAAGGAGCTGCAATCAAAGCTGGTTGCTGCCTGAGGCCTCACAGCGCTTTCAGTAGCGCGCATGTTTTGCGACCGACAAACAGAACAGTTCACTCCGTAGCTGCTGTCCCTACGGTAGTAGAAAGAAGAGATATACCTAGTCTAGACTGCACTGCAGGTAGACCAACTCACAGCTTAGAAGGACGATCTGTCCCTCTTTGTTTTTCCTTATCAATAAGTGAGGCGAGTATTATTCTGCAGCTGACCAGCTCCAGCATCACATCAGCTGCCGCTCTCAGTAAGCTTCCCCCAACTGACTAAGCCCTGTGCTGGTTCTCTCGCTGTCCATTCATCTCCAGGTCAACCTTGACATCACATCACCACTTCATCAACCCATCTTCCCCTACTCATCGAGGCACCATCTCCCATTTTTTCTTATTTTTCTTGGTTCTTCAATCCCTACTCTTGTCACTTTCGTCATTTATTTCCAGACTTTCTTCTTGTCCTCGGACATTGGTGCTCTTCCTTCCCCTTCCTCCGTTCCCCGGTCCTGCAATCGCTTCTTGATCAGCCGAGCTTCAAGTTGAAGAAAGATGCCGGCCGAGAGACGTTCTTTGCGATCGAACAGCAAGTCAGACACTTCTTCATCTGCTAACGGTGAAAAAGCGCGTTCCAACTCGCAGAGCTCAAGTTCCAACAAGGACAAGGCCGCGCCAAACCGCGCCGCCGCCAACAAGGCCAAATCTCCCACACCGGCAGCTTCGTCCAATAACGTATCTAACTCCGGTATGGGCGAGCAGCGTGACCAGCCGCATACCAACGGCGTGAACGGTTCTGAAGATATTGAGATGGGAGAGGATACGGCAGGTGGGCCTACATCCTCATTCAACACCCGTAAGGATCGGAAAGGTGACGAGAAGATGACTGTTGTAGTGCCCCCGTCCAAGGGTTCGAGGTTATCCGGAGAGAAGGGACAGAATCAGGAGGAAGATGTTGTCATGGAGGCCGCAGAGACTGATTCTCAAAAGCCCGAGTCGGAGGTTGATCCCAGAGTCAAGGCCATTCAAGGTTCGTTTCTTTTCCCGCTACTGTCCTGATGGATGCATGCCTAATCATCAACTGTTATCACTTGGCTGTAGATATCAAGACCAACTTCACACTCCTCGAGCGAGCTGTAGCCCACTTCGACCCCAGATTTACACTGCGCGTTCTCAGGTCGATATCCTCAATGCGCAAGCACATCACTGCTGATGTGCTGGCAGAAGTGATCGTTGAGACCTACCCACCATCAAGTCCTACTGCTGCTTTCTTGCTGGAGGCTATTGATCAATCGGGCGCATACGAGAGCGCCCTTGCTAGTTCGAAGATGGAAGTCGATTCGGAGAAAAACAAGGCTGCTCCCAAAGAAATACTGCCAGAGGTTGATACCTACCTATCCATCCTCGTTCAGATCTACCTCTACGACAAGAAGGATATTCAAGGGGGCGCAAAGTTCTCAACAGCGTTGATTGAGCGTCTACGGACTCTTAATCGTCGCACGCTGGACTCTCTTGCTGCTCGCGTGTACTTTTACTACTCCCTCTTCTTTGAGCAGGTTGCTCCCCTTCCCCCATCTCCTGCTGCGGCGGTTACCTCTATCCGCCAGCCCTTGCTCGCTGCTCTTAGGACAGCCGTGCTCCGGAAAGATGTCGATACTCAGGCCACCGTGATGACCCTGCTTCTGCGGAACTACTTGTCTACGTCTCATATCTCGCAGGCTGACTTGCTCATCTCTCACAACCGCTTTCCGCCTTCTGCATCAAACAATCAGATTGCTCGGTACCTGTATTATCTGGGCCGTATTCGTGCGATTCAGCTGCAGTATACGGATGCTCACGGGCATCTGATTGGTGCTACTCGCAAGTCTCCTTCGAGTCACAGTGCTCGTGGCTTCTATCAGGCTTCTCACAAGCTGCTTGTAGTTGTTGAGCTTTTGATGGGCGATATTCCCGACCGTGCAATCTTCCGCCAGCCTGCACTTGAGCGCGCTTTGCACCCTTACTTCTTACTCGTCCAAGCCGTGAGCGTTGGAGATTTGGATGGTTTCTTGAACATTGTAAATACACACAGCGCAACGTTCCGCAAAGATGGTACCTACACCCTGATCCTGCGCTTGAGGCAAAATGTCATCAAAACGGGTATCCGGATGATGTCGTTGTCCTACTCTCGCATCTCGCTTCGGGACATTTGCCTGCGTTTGGGCCTGGACAGTGAGGAGTCGGCAGAATACATAGTGGCCAAGGCGATCCGCGATGGTGTGATTGAGGCCACCTTGGATCATGAGCACGGATACATGAAGAGCAAGGAAGTCGGAGATATCTATGCCACTCGCGAGCCTGGAGAGGTGTTCCACGAACGTATTCGGGCTTGCTTGGCTCTGCATGATGAAAGCGTCAAGGTAGGCTCTCAGTATTTTCAGCTATTTCCAATTTTCCGGACGGTCTTCTGAATTCATCGCTAACGTCTGCCTCTTCTTCTGTGTAGGCCATGAGATTCCCCATGAATCAGCATCGCCTCGAGCTCAAGAGCGCACAGGAGGCTCGCGAACGGGAACGAGAGCTCGCCAAAGAGATTCAGGAGGGGGACATTGATGACGAAGACGCTGGCGGTGATTTTGACGCCATCTAGTGGCCCAAAAGACTACGTCTGCTCATATAGTGATTCTGCTCAGCTCTGCCTCTGCCAGCTGAGAATGATCCATAGGCTGGGCTTTGCAGTTTCCAAGTCATGCTACGCCGTTTTCCCTGCCCGGGTGTGTATGAGGGGAAAATTTGCTGAGTTAAACTTGCGGGCGTGATTCTCCATATTTCCTGTATTCACAGATTTATTTCGTTTCCGGTTATCAGGACGGATTTTGTCTTGTAGATGTCGTTCGTCCAGCTGGTCATCTTGCCTTGGTGGGAGTCGCAACAAGATCTCTCTGTAATCTCCATTTACATTCTAGACAAGAAAATCTCACCGCGTTTCTTGTAGAAGTATCTTTACGAGTTGCCTTTCCCATTTAAGAAAACTTGTCATAACGGCCAATGTCTTTTCAAACGTCCTTGAAATGGTACGAGCGTGGTGATCAATTGTGATGACGATGTGTTCTGATGTGCCTTGGAAGCTGTCATCCTCCAGTCGTTTCCCGTTCCGGCCCGAGCGCAGCTCCGTAAGCTCGAAATCTTCGGCCTTTTTTTTAATAACTGCGGAAACATTATGCACTCCGCAAAGTGAAAGGCACACGACGCCTTGACTCGTTAGGACTCTCAGCTTTTCTTGTATTTTATCTTATTTGTCCTCTTAGATTGCGAGTCCTTCTAAAACTAATTATAGTCACTCTCGCCTGAGCATGAGAGCTCGAACGGTTTCGGCCTCTGGCCTTGTACTCTCATCTCGAATAACACCTTCCACCTCGATATGCTGGCAATGCCTCCGCGATGACCTGCTTTCCAAACAATTTCAGACACCCGTTCGAAAGTATCACCCAAGCCGGCGGAAAGATGCCTCTCCCTTCGGCGCTGCGGTTTCTGCAGCACAGACAATCTTCAAAGGTCTACCAAAGGCTCCTCCGGGGATCTCGGTAGATCCATTGAGGATTGTAGGAAAAGAGCTCAAGTTCCTAACGAAAAATATCCGTCAATTGCTCGGCTCGGGACATCCGACACTCGATAAAGTGGCCAAATATTATACCCGGAGCGAGGGTAAACACATGCGTCCCCTTCTGGTGCTGCTCATGTCTCAGGCGACTGCCTTGACTCCGGGAAAGAGTCGTCCAAACGATGTAGCCCCAATTTCGGTCAATGATCCCATTTCATCACCCTCTATACTCGCCGACACGAACCCGGATACAAACACTCTTGTTTCCGAGTCAGCCGAGGCCCAATATGATTTTGCGGGCGACGAAAACATCCTGCCATCCCAGCGACGACTCGCTGAGATTACCGAATTAATCCACACTGCATCGCTTCTCCACGACGACGTGATAGATAATGCCGTCACCCGCCGGTCGTCGAACTCTGCGAACCTCCAATTTGGAAACAAAATGGCTGTTCTGGCCGGCGATTTCTTGCTAGGCCGAGCCTCCGTTGCTCTGGCGCGCTTGAGGGACCCCGAAGTCACTGAGCTCCTCGCCACTGTGATTGCCAACCTGGTTGAGGGCGAGTTCATGCAGTTGAAGAACACTGTAGCGGACGAGAAAAATCCCGTTTTCACCGACGAAACCATCTCGTACTACTTGCAGAAGACCTACCTGAAGACCGCTAGTCTGATCAGCAAATCGTGCCGCGCAGCTGCATTGCTTGGCGGTAGTACGCCCGAGGTAGTTGAAGCTGCTTATTCCTATGGACGCAATCTTGGCCTGGCATTTCAGCTGGTGGACGATCTGCTGGATTATACGGTGAGCGGGGTCGAGTTGGGCAAGCCTGCTGGCGCAGATCTGGAACTGGGACTTGCGACTGCTCCGCTGCTCTTCGCTTGGAAGCAAAACCCTGAACTAGGTCCCCTAGTGGGCCGCAAGTTTAGCCACGAAGGAGACGTACAAAGAGTAAGTGGTGATTTCTAGCCTCGGAAAATGATTCGTCTCGCAGCGGTGTGATAAGACCGAAAGCTGACAACTCGCCAGGCCCGTGAGATTGTGTATAAGAGCGATGGTGTTGAACAGACGCGCGCTTTGGCCCAGGAATACGCCGATAAGGCCGTTGCTGCCATTAGCGATTTCCCTGACAGTGAAGCGAAGAGAGGTCTGATTCAGATGTGCGAGAAGACCATGAATCGGAGGAAGTGAATTACTCAAATGGTTGCGTCAGGAGTCCGTCGGAGGACGGTATATCAGCTGGGGCTCAGGACTAAGTGGTCTACACATTCTCCCAATTTCATACGCTCTCCACATCCATCCAGCCACAGATTGACCCAAAGTGTACAGCCATCGCTCGCGGATACGGCCGACTGTGACATTATCCTTCCACTATCTATTGTAGCATTAACCCTTTCCTTCCATGATTGCTAGCTAGAATTTGCATCTTTCTGTCCCCTCTCACTAATTTATGCCTTCCCTTTGTTTCTGCATCTGGTTGACAGCGATAAGAAAGGCCATGGACATATGATAATGAGACAGGAAGACATAAAGTGTGATTGTCAATAGATCCAATGTTTCTTCATGTGATTCTTATGGGAACATAGATGTTTTGCTTTTATTAGATTATCGAATGCTGTATATTGTTATTGCGAACTGCGGCACTATGAATTCATTTAACTATGAATGAGGCATGTAGATCTGCAACGTGCTATGATGCAGAGATGATCGAAGGCTAGGCATCTGACCTTGAGTGACTACCTAAGTAGGTCATCTTGACCTCATCTTGAGGGTATTTAGCTATAGCCCTAGTACTCCGTAGCATATGGGAGGCACTTCAGGAGCGCTCGTAGTAATGGACAGATAGACAGATGGACTGCATGTCCGGAGTAAATAACTTGATAATTCCCAAATTATCCATCCACTCGTCGCCGTCTCAACTACTGCTTCAAAACGGTTTCAGATTGATGCTCCCAGACTCCTGCAGGACTGTATTCATTGGATGGGTCTAATTGATATTCCATCAGATGATTTATCGGAGCAATGATGGCCCAGCTAAATAGTACCTTACCTGTTGATGCTGATTTGTCGAGTTGGTAACATTCCTTATGCCAGGACCCACAGGATACACTAAACCCAGCGGGGACAGCTATCGTCAGGTGCCGTCATAGGTTGATTCCCAAGGTAGGGATCTGTTATTATTACAAGCGGAAGGTACGGGAGCAGAACTGAGCAGTAATTTCACGGGAGTCACTTGCATACGCGTGAACTACCTATCAATCAACTCCTGAGCGGTTGAGGGGTCGAAGACTGAATAAGGAGTACGGACGATCCTGGTGTCAACTTGTCGATGGCGTCGGTTACTCACGATTGCCCTTGAATCGACCAGACTACCTAAATACCTAGCTCGCCGGCTGTCTGTCCCACGTGAGACAGAGTACAGCGATACATTATCGTACTGGACACGAACGTGCCTGAGTCTATCCTGCTCTCTTTCCAAGTGGCCCTGATATCCTTTTTCTTCTTCTTCTTCTTGGATCTCTGTCTATCTCCTGAATCTCTCATTCATTTTCTCTCTCCTTGTCGTCCTATACCATCTGCCAGATAGTGTGCTCCTTCCGCTATCTTGCCCTTGGCTCTATTCCCCTCATATTGTCGCAACAGTGATACCGACGACAATGGAGCCTTTCCTGCTGCGTCTTTGATTGACTTGGTCCCGATGGGTTCGTTCGGTAGTTTTCTTCTCGCATACTTTATCGGCGGACTCACCTTCATCCCGCTTGTCCTGTCGCTGGTTCTTCTCCATGCGTATCTTACGTTACCGCGCGCTTCCCCACCCTCCAACTATCCAGACGGACAATCTCCCGATAGCATTCAACGACCGACCGATGATCAGTTCAGTCTGAAATCGGGCACAGATGAGCTAGCAGAAAAGTTCCATCGGACTCACGAGTCCGATGTCGCTGCCGGATATTTTGCTGTCTGTCGCGAGTATGTCCCTGGTGGAGTCAATGGCAAGCCTCCCGAGAGAACCACCCCGGCGGGTGAGGTGATCGCCGCCGAGAGCCCCAGCGTCTACCAAACTATGTACCGGAGTCTGTTTGATAGGAAGCAAACGCCGACGATCGAGCCTGCGAAAAACAATGGCAAGAGCGGGAAAAGGGCGCGTAATGTGTTTTACATTGTTCTGCGGTAGGTGTCGGTTAGTGCCGTCTCTTTGGTATTTCTCAATGCTGACCATATCGTTGGACAGACATGGCCATCTGATGCTCTATGACGATGCCAACCAGGTGGAAGTCCGATATGTCATTTCACTCGCGCACCACGATGTGAGCATTTACGGTGGTGAGGGAGAAATCTTGGAGGGCGAACTATGGCTGAAAAGGAACGCCATTTGTCTTTCGAGGCGGTTGGACTCCCTTGGTGACCTGGGAGGGCCGACCCCTCCGTTCTTCCTCTTTTCCGACAATTTATCGGAAAAGGAGGACTTTTACTTCGCTATGCTCCAGAACCAGACCCGAATGGGCGACTTTCCAAATTGTCCGCCCAAGCAACAGCAGTTTGACGCCAAGCATATTGTCACCCTAGTCCAACGCCTGCACTCATCCGAGGAGCAGCTGCAGACGCGGTGGATCAATGCCGTGCTCGGCAGACTGTTCTTGGCCTTATACAAGACCCCGGAGGTGGAAGACTTCATTCGGCAGAAGATCACGAAGAAGATCTCCCGAGTCAACAAGCCGAACTTTATCAGCAAAATCTGTTTGCAGCGAATTGACATGGGTGAAGGTGCCCCTTTTATCACCAACCCGAGGCTCAAGGACCTGACGGTCGATGGAAACTGCTGCGTGGAGACTGACATCCAATATACTGGCAACTTTCGCCTGGAGATTTCGGCCACCGTTCGCATTGACCTGGGTCCACGTTTCAAGGCACGAGAAGTTGACATTGTTCTGGCTGTAGTTCTCAAGAAGCTCGAAGGGCATATGTTGATTCGGTTCAAGCCCCCGCCCAGTAACAGAGTGTGGGTTTCTTTCGAAACAATGCCAAACATGGTTATGGACATCGAACCGATTGTGAGCTCGAAGCAAATCACTTACGGCATTATTCTGCGAACTATCGAGAGTAGAATTCGCGAAGTTGTTGCTGAGAGTGTTGTTCAGCCATACTGGGACGATATTCCGTTCCTGGACACCGCTTCACAGCCTTACCGCGGCGGCATCTGGCAACGCGAGGTCCCAGAACAAGATTCAAAGGCTGAGATTCCTGACGAGTCGATCGGCCAGCCACAGACGCCGACTACAAAGGACTCAATCGAGGCTCTGAAGGCGAAGGATGATCGCGCAATGAGCATGCCAGTGCTTTTGGAAACCACTTCCGGATCGCTGAAATCACGCAAAAGCTCCAAGTCCGTCACAACAGACTCCGACACGAGTATATCATCCGCCGTTGATAAAGCAGGCGGTCTGTCTCCACCGCGCGCTATTCGATCTCGGACATTTTCTAATGTGGCCGATCCTGTTGTCACTGCTGACAACATCAAGATTCAAAAAGCTACGGGTGATTCCAAGGGCGAAGAGAAGAGCAGTGCTGCCAGTGCGATGATTGAGATTTCGAGCCGTTCGCCTCCTAGCTCACCGAATAAGACCCCGAATGGATCACCGCCATCAATCAGCTTGATGAACCCAGAGAAGCTGACTCCCAGTCGAGGGTCATCGTTTACGGAGTCTATTGAAAGTGTTGGCGAGTTTGCCAGCCACTCTCCAAAGCGCCCTACATCTGCGCACTTGGCCAGTGAACAATCAGTCACTCTCCGAAGTGGGAATGGAAGTTCCAACGCGTCTATCAGTAGCGAAAGATCGCGCAGGCGAAGCACGTTGGAAACTGCAGGGACCCTGACCAGGTCAGCCACAGCTTCCAATGCTCCCGAAGAGAAGCCAAAATTATCAATCTCGCTGGGTACAGCGACCGCTGCAGCAAAGAAATGGGGTTGGAGTGTGTTTGGAAAGGCAGATTCCAATGGCCAGGAAACCTCCCGGCCTGCAGGCACTCCCGACGAGCCGATCGGACGTGGTCATCCACTTCCTCCTCCAGGCACCCCATTACCGCGCCCTGATAAGTTCGGCATCAAGAGTAATCCTATTCCTCGAAGGAAGCCTGTACCACCGCCTGTCCCCGAGCGTTCGAAAGGTGACGCGAAGAGGCCCGTCCCAAAGCCACCCCTGCCTAAACGGAAGCCTCTTACAAGACCGGAGGGTGACGAAAGCAGCCCCGACGAATTGCTCGTGGTTGAGGCGCCGTGCGATTCGACGCCCAATAGCCCGGTGCCTGATTCCGCTTCTGAGATAGATATACTACAGCCGAGTACCACCCAAGAGAATACTCGGGATCTCTCCCTTTCCAGATCGGACAATGTGGTTGCAAGCCGTCGCTGGGATGATGGTACGGAGCAAAAATCGTGTGAGCATGACTCCATTGCTGAAGGCATGCCCGGTATCACAAAGCACGGCATAGAAATATTTTCGGCGACAGACGGAATTTTACCTTAGCGAGAATTGTACCGCTTCGATTGAGACATCTGATGGAAGAGACCTCCAGTCTCGATGTCACTTCTTATACATGTTTTATCCGGACGTTTCTGCGGGCGCAGAGCCAGCGTATTCTTGTGGGCAATCCGGCGTTCTTGGTGCAGATAGGTTGATTGGAAGACTGACCGCAGTATAACGTGGTCTCGTTGTATTGTTCTCATTAGTGGGTAGATGGACCTACTGCCATCCCATTCTACAGAGTAGTACTAGCATTGTATCAAGGTGAAAGTTGAAGTCAGTACGGTGAGCATACAGCAGTCACATGGTTTTCAGAATAATACATATTCAGATCTATCACTAGGCAGGCGCTTCATGTATGTAATCATAATCTTGGGCTTCATACCGTCCATAAGGAGATTCGTCTATCAGGAGGAGGAGGACGCGTTGCCAAGACTTGCGATGGCCGAACTGCAGGCGCCAACTTTCCCGATAGACGCCCAAAACGTCATTGTCTGGGCTCTGCCACATTGCCATCTCGATCGCTACACCCTCACAATCATTTTCTATATCTTTCTTTTTCCTGTGGGCCTTTACTATTGCCTTTTGTTTTCTTTGCTCCCTAATTGTTCTGTCTTTCCTTGTTAGCGCAAGTGTTGCTTGTCACGGGCCCACCGGCTTCCGCCGCAT